AAAAATATTTATTTTAGGGGGCTAGGGAGATGGCTCAGCAGTTAAGAACGCTGGTTGTTCTTGCAGAAGACCCAGATTGGAATCCCAGCACCCACATGGCAGCTAACAACTGTCCATAACTCCAGTCCCAGGGGATCTAGCAGCCTCTTCTGACCTCCGAGGGCATTGAAGGACACAGGTGCACTTACCTACATGCAGGGAACACACGCATACACATAAAATAAAAGTAATAAATAAAATTAAAAGAAAAAGGAACCCTAGCTCAAAGAGCAGGAAAAAAATGTGGTTTAAAAAAATATATATAGCCGGTCATGGTGGCGCACGCCTTTAATCCCAGCACTCGGGAGGCAGAGACAAGCGGATTTCTGTGAGTTCAAAGCCAGCCTGGTCTACATAGTGAGTTCCAGGACAGCTGGGGCTACAGGGAGACCCTTTCTTCTTTTAAAACATTTCATTGTGAGCAGGATGGATGGCTCAGCAGTTAAGAGCTCTTGCTGCTCTTCCAAAGGACCCAGGTTCAGTTCCCGGAACCCACATGACAGCTAACAACTGTCCATAACCCCCATTCCAGGGGATCTGACAGTCTCTTCTGTTCTCCACGGGCACTACAGGACACGGGTGCACTTGCCTACATGCACAGCAATACACACATATGCATAAAATAAAAAATAAAAATAAGAATTTAAAAATATATATATATTTATTTTTATTTTATGTGTAAGAGTGTTATGCCTGCATGGGTATAAGTGCACCCTGTTGTGCAATGCCCATGGAGGACAGAAGAGGGTGTTAGATCCCCTGGAACTGGAGTTATGGACCGTTCTTAACCGCCATACTGGTTCTGGGATTTGAGCCTGGATCTTCTGCAAGAACAGCCAGTGCTCTTAACCACTGAACTATCTCTCTAGCCCTGAGGCTCCCTTTTTCATATTTATTTATTTTATGCATATGAATGTATTGCCTGCATGTATGTAAGTGCACCTTGCTGTGCAATGCCTGTGGAGGCCAGAAGAAGGCAGCAGATCCCTCAGAACTGGAGTTGCAGATGGTTGTTAGCCATCATGTAGGTTCTGGGAATCAAACCCAGGTCCTCTGCAAGAGCAGCCAGTGTTCTTAACTACTGGGCCATCTCTCCAGCCTGAGGCTCCATTTTAAAACTAAAGAATTTTCTGAGCTGGGTGTGATGACACATGCCTTTAATCCTAGCACTTGGGAGTCAGGCAAATCTCTGTGAGTTCGAGGCCAGCTTGGTCTACATAGTGAGTTCCGGGCCAGCTGGGGCTACAGGGAGACTCTGTCTCAAAAAGACAAAAAAAAAAAAAAAGATTTTTCTTTTTAGTTTTGTGTATGTGTGTGTGTGTGTGTGTGTGTGTGTGTGTGTGTGTATGTGTGCATGTGACCTAAGTGCCCACAGTGGCCAGAAGAGGATGTCAGATCCCCTGGAGCTGGAGTTCCAGGCAGTTGTGAGTCACCTGATGTGGGTTTTGGGAGCTGAAGTCTCTCTAGTCCTTTGCCAGAGCAGCCAGGGCTCTTAACCCCTAGGCCATCTCTCCAGCCTCTGTTGTTTCTTTTTAAAAATATTTTATTAGCCAGGCATGGTGGCGCAGGCCTTTAATCCCAGCACTCGGGAGGCAGGCGATCTCTGTGAGTTCAAGGCCAGCCTGGTCTACATAGTGAGTTTCAGGACAGCTGGGGCTACAGGGAGACCCTGTCTCAAAAAGACCAAAAAAAATTTTTATTATTTTTATTAACGTGTATGAGTGTATTGCCTGCATGTATGTAAGTGCACCCATATTATGCAATGCCCACGGAGGTCAGAAGAGGGTGTTCAGGCTCCTGGAACTGGAGTAACAGATGATTGTTAGTTGCTATGTGGGTGCGGGGAATTGAACCCAGGTCCTTGCAAGAGTAGCCAGTGCTCTTAACAGCTGAGCCAGTTCTCCAGTCCCCTGTTATTTTCTTGAGAAACAGTCTCTGTAGCCTCAAACTTTACTGTAGCTGAGAAAGACCTTGAACTCCTGATTCTCCTGCTTCAACCTCACAAGTGCTGGGATTACATATGTTCACCACCTGGCTATGCTGCCTTTCTTGTTTTTTTGTTTGGTATTGTTTGGGTTTTTGATTTTTTTTTTTTTGAACAGGGTCTCCTTGTAGCCCTAGCTGGCCTGGAACTCAATATGTAGACCAGGCTGGCTTCAATCTCACAGAGATCAGCCTGCCTCTGCATCCCAAGTGCCTGAGATTAAGGAGCCACCACATCCAACTCTGTACACCCTTTTTATTTTATTTATTTTTAATATTTTATTATTTTTATTTTGAGTGCACCCGTGTTGTGCAATGCCACAGAGGTCAGAAAAGGGCTTCGGATTCCCCTGGAACTGGAGTTAAGGACGGTTCGTAGCCGCCATGTGGGTGCTGGGAATCGAACCAGGGTCCTCTGCAAGAGCAGTGCTCTTAACCACTAAGCCATCTCTCCAGCCCCTCTGCAGCCTTTTAAAAAGGATTTTAGGGGCTGAAGAGCTGGTTCAGTTGGTAAAGTGTTTGCTGTATAGGCATGAGGAACTGAGTGAGTTCAATCCCTGGAACATGTAAAAATGTCAGGCCAGTGCTGCGGAGGTGGATACAGGTGCAGCCCTGGGGTTCACTGCCCCCCACCAGCCTCGCCTAGCCAGGAAGATCCAGGTCCTAGTGAGAGACACTGACTTAAATCAAAGGATGGACAGTGCCTGAGGAGTAATGTGAGCATACATATATGCACATACACACGTGCACACATGTACACACACATATACAAAGACTGTTTTTACTACTGCTGCCTTCCAGAAAAGGGTATGGTGTGGTACACATTTGTGATCGCAGCAGTTGGGAAACTGAGGCAGGAGGAGCTCAGGTTGAGGACAGCCTGGCTATATAGTGAGACCTTGTCTGAAGAAATAGGAGCTCGGTGTAGAGCTTATGTCTGTAATCTCAGTACTTGAGAATCTAAGGCTGGAGGGTCTCCAGGAATTTGAGGCCAGTCTGGGCTCCATAGTGAGTTCCAGGTTAGCCTGGGCTACAGAGTCAGACTCTTTCTCAAAATACATAAGACAGGAGCAGTCCTTAAAGTCTTTCATTCCCACACTTGGGAGGCAGAGGGCAGGTGGATCTCTGGGAGTTTGAGGTCAGCCTGGTCTACATAGGGAGTTCTAGGTCAGTCAGGGCTACACAGTAATCAGACCCTGTCTCTAATAAAATAAACTTAAAAAGTAAAAATGGGGGGCGGGCTGGAGAGATGGCTCAGCGGTTAAGAACACTGACTGTTCTTGCAGAAGACTCAGGTTTGAATCTCAGCACTCACATGACAGCTAACAACTGTCAGTAACTCCAGTTCCAGCCTCTTCTGACAGCCTCTTCTGTCCTCCAAAAGCACTGCACAACACGGGTGCACTTACCTACATGCAGGCAATACACGCATACACATAAAATAAAAAGTAAAAAATAAATTAAGAGGAAAATAAGGAGAGAGTGGAGGCTGAGGAAGTGGAAGAGGAGGAGGAAGAGGAAGAGGAGGAGTTACCATGGTACCATGCCTGTCTTTCAACACCAATGTTTAGCCATATCCATTTACACCCACTGCCTGGAATTGGTCATGTGACCTCAGTCAACTACAAGGAGGCTATTTAGGTTTCTTTCCCTTCAGTTGAGAAGAATGTAAATAGCTGAGGTTAGGTTACAAATCTGACTGCTATAGCAAAAGGACATAAAATCACATCTTGCAGAGCGCAGAAGCTGATTCGCCCCTTCAACAGGTGGTGGGAACTGAGCAGGGTGGCAGGCTCCTTTCTTGGGGTCTCCATCTGATCCCAGATGGGTGGCAATCTGGCACTCCAGACAGTGGGGAGACAAAGAGGGAGTGGTTTAATGGGGTGCACACGTGTAGATGGAACGCAGGGACAAAAGAATTTAGGGCAGCTGAGATGGCCCAGCAGGTAAAGGCATCTGCAGCCAAGTCTGAAGACTTGAGTACAATCCCCAGAACCCACATGGAGGAAGGAGAGAGCTGACTTCTGCGAGCTGTCCTCTGAACTCCACTCTCTCACTGTCACCTGCTCATCCACAAAATAAAAAAATAAATATAAGACTGAGCATGGTGGTGTGGCACACGGCTTTAATCCTAGCACTTGGAGGGCAGAGGCAGGCAGATATGTGAGTTCGAGACTAACCTGGTCTATATAGCGAGTTCCAGGCCAGCTGGGCCTACAGGGAGACGCTGTCTCAAAAATACTAAAAATGTCTAAAAATAAATACAATAAATGTAATTAAAAAAAGTTTAGAAAGAATCTAAGGGCTGTGGAGATGGCTCACTTGATAAAGTTCTTGCTGAGTAAGCATGGAACCTAAATTCTATCCCCAGCTCCTCGCTGGGGGATTCTAGGCAGGGGCTCTACCCCTGAGCCATACCCCAGCCCCTCACTGGGGGATCCTAGGCAGGGCCTCTACCCCTGAGCCACACCCCAGCCCCTCACTGGGGGATCCTAGGCAGGGCCTCTACCCCTGAGCCACACCCCAGCCCCTCACTGGGGGATCCTAGGCAGGGCCTCTACCCCTGAGCCATAACCCAGCCCCTCACTGGGGGATTCCACACAAGCACCTCAAGGTTTGAGATGTTCCTTCCCACTTACTTTTCCCTGGCACACCATTTTGTCCACTCCTGTGTCTACCAAACAGAGACACTAAAAATCCAGGAGGTACTATCCTTTGGCCAAAACCATGTACTCTACCAAGGACAAAATCAAGCTGAATACTCAGCCTCCTGGCTCTAGAATTTTCAAGTTTCTTTTTTTTTTTGGGTGTTATGAGTGTTTTGCCTGCATGTGTGATGCATGCATGAGTGCACCAGGTGTATGTATGCAATGCCCAGGCAGGCCAAAAGAGGGCATTAATGGCTGGGCCTTCTTTCCAGCCCCTTGGCTCCATAATTTTCTTGGGATCAAACCACTTTTATCTCCTATTCTTCCCAGAGTGGGGTCAACAGTGGATTGGTGCGTGCCAAAGACTCCATCACCAGCTTGAAGGAAAAGACCACCCGGGTTAACCAGCATGTGCAGACCCTCCAGGTATGGCACTTGAGGACTCGGAGATTCTCCTTTCTATAAGAGTTTTCCTCCCTGACTGTGTACCTAACCCCCCCCCCACCTCCTTTCATGGTCAAGAGTGAGTGCTCAGTGCTGAGTGAAAACCTGGAGAGAAGACGGCAGGAGGCAGAAGAGTTGGAGGGGTACTGCTGTCACCTGAAGGTGAGCTGGAGGGAAAGAGTGGAAAGCCAGCGCTGAGGTTATGGTCAGTTGGTAGAGAGCTTGCCTAGCATGCACGAAGCCCAGGTTCTATTCCCAGCACCACATGAAACCGGTGCAGAGGTGCATGTCTGTAATCCTAGCACTTGAGAAGTGGAATCAGGGAGTCAGGAGTTCAAGGTCATCGTCAGCTACATAACAGGCTGGAGGCCCGAGCTTACATGGGCTTATGTTAGCCGGGTGTATCCGATATGGGACAGGGCTAGGGAAACAGCGAGGCTGTGGGTGGGGGGCAGAACTGGAATGGGAAGGCAGGGCCCCGCCCTGATGTCCTGACTCAGGAGAACTGCCGCAAGGTGACCCGCTCGGTGGAGGACGCTGAAATTAAGACCAATGTCTTGAAACAGAACTCTGCCGTATTGGAGGTAAGGGGGGTGGGGTTCCAGGATTAGTGAAGAGTCTGGGTGGGGCCTAGGGATGGAGTTTGGAGCTGGGGTGGACAGGGATGGGGATGGAGCCTCCAGGAGTTAAGGTGAGTGGGGTCTGACTGTGGAGCCTGGAGATCAGGGGACGGATGGACCCATGGGTGGTGTCTGGGGTGGTCAGGTCAGGCTGGATCCTCTAGAGGAGCTGGTGGGCGGGGCCTAGGGTGGACTGGGGAGGGGCTGTGGTGGGCGGGGCCTAGGGTGGAACTTAAAGGGGCAGGAACTATGAGGTTCACTGTAGGAAAGTGGGGTTTTCTGCCTGCCACCAACACACTGTCATGCATTCAGGATCGCTATTAGAATCCTCTAGTAAGACTTAATCAGATGATTAGCCGGACGTAGTGGCTCACGCCTTTAATCCCAGCCCTCAGGAGGCAGAGGCAAGTGGATCTCTATGAGTTCATGGCCAACCTGGTCTACATAGCGAGTTCCAGGCCAGCTGGGACTGCAGGGAGACCCTGTCTCAAAAAGAAAAAAAGAAAAGACTTAATCAGATAAGACTGGGGGGCTCCCAGAGTCACTTGAGATGGACTCCGGGTACAGAACGTTGGGCAAGGTTGCTGTCCCTGAGCGGCAGGGACTGAACAGGCATGGGGCGGAGGGCTGGCTGCAGCCACAGACCGGACTGGCGGACTGCCCTGGACTTGAACGTCCCCCTCCTTGTGGCAGCAAGCAGGAGCCCGGCTAGACTTGGTTGATTGACTTTGCGCTCTCGGGGATCCCTGGGCGCAGGGACTGCGGGTGGCGAGGCGCTGGGCACCCTGACCGGTCCTCCTCTGGGCCCAGGAGAAACTGCGATACCTCCAGCAGCAGCTGCAGGATGAGACGCCGCGGAGGCAAGAGGCCGAGCTGCAGGAGCTGGAGCAGAAGTTGGAGGCCGGGCTCTCCCGGCACGGCCTGGGCCCGGCTGCTGCCAACCAGGGCTGCTCGGGCCCGCCGGGTAGTCCCGAGGAACCCCCGCGACCGCGCAGCCTGGCCGCCAATGGCTGGGGAATGGCGCCGCGGACCACCGAGGGTCCCTCCCTGAGCGAGCAGGAGCTGCAGAAGGTGTCCGCGGGCCTGGAGGAGCTGAGGTGGGCGGGCCCTGAGGGCGGTGGGGGGCCTGGAGGGCGGGGCGAGGAATGGGCGAGGCATGGAAGGGAGGATGGTGGGCGGGGCCTAGAGGGGAGGAGTAGGCGGGACATGTAGGAGGTGGGGAGGAGCTGGGGTGGGCGGGGCCTGGAGTATGTTGGGTGGGCGGGGCTTGGCGGAGGTGGGGTGCGTGAGCGGTTTGGATCTGAAGTGGGTGAGGGGTGGGTGGGACCTTGAGGAGGAGTGTGAGCGGGGCTCCGGGTGGAACCTGGAGCCGGTGGCTGGGTGGCGGAGCCTCAGGTGGGGCCTGGAGGAGGTGGGTGGGCGGGCCCCGCGTGGAGTAGGAGGGAGGACTTGGGTGGTGTCTTGTCAGTGACCGAGCTGGCTCACAAGACTTTGGGTTCCATCCGCACTGCAAAAACACCCCGAAGATCTACTTGGGGCGAGGTCAATGGGGCCTGGCCAATCGTATCCCCACCCTTTCCTGCTCTCCTGTCCCTGCAGGAGGGAGGTGTCCTTGCTGACCGCCCGGTGGCATCAAGAGGAGGGGGCGGTGCAGGAGGCCCTGCGGCTGCTGGGGGGCTTGGGCGGCCGGCTGGACGGCTTCCTGGGTCAGTGGGAGCAGGCGCAGCGCGAACAGGCGCAGTCAGCGCGGGGCTTGCAGGAGCTGCGAGGACGGGCAGACGAGCTGTGCACTATGTAAGGGTTTGGACGGTGCTAGAGGGGAGGGGCCGAGGGAGACCGTGGGAAGGCCAGCGAACCTGGGGAAAAGGATGGGGGTAGCTCAGGAAGCTGGGGAGAAGAGTCCCCCAGTGAGGGGCTGGGGTGTGGCTCAGTGGTAGCACATTGACCTGGCCCAAGAACAGGTTCCATCCCCAGTGGGATGGGGAAGGCTCATCAGAGCAGAGGGCCGGCGGGTTTAGAATGAAAAGGTGGAGACACAGGTGCTACACTAATATGCATCAGGGTGGAGCGGTCCTCGGTGTCTGTGGCTTCACTGAGGAGCGAACTGGAGGCACTGGGACCAGTGAAACCCATTCTGGAGGAGCTGGGGCGGCAACTCCAGAACTCCCAAAGAGGAACTGACCATATCTTGAACTTGAATCGATCTTCCCAAGGCCCCTGTGCCCGCTGTGCCAGGTATGGGCGGGACCATAAAACCTGCATTGTGGGTTACACATAGGACAGCACAGTGAAGGGGGGGCAGTTGTCGTTATGGGAGACAATCCCTTACAGAATGGGTTGCAGAATGAGACAGCCCTCTTGCATTGTGGGAGCCACATTTCGTCCTTCTTCTTGGATGCATATTGATACTTGATACATTTGCATTTCCAGTATATTGTGGGAAGGTTGGGATATGGCCTGAAGGAAGCTGCGTTCTCAAAGCCCAGCAGCAAGACCTCCAGGGCGCTGGGGGAGGATAGCCCCGTTAGGGAAGTGTTTATCTCCCAAACAGAGAGGAGGATCCCAGGAGTCCATTGGCCAGTCAGCCGAACCAGATCAAGGTGCTCCAGGTTCAGTCAGAGACCCTGTCTAAAACAATAAGGAGAAGTCTGGGCAGTGGCCTAGGCCTTTAATCCCAGCCCTCAGAAGGCAGATGCAGGTGGATCTCTGTGAGATTGAGGTCACCCTGGTTCACATTGTGACTTCCAGGTGGGCTGTGACTAGAGAGACCAGGTCAAAAAACAAAAACAAAAACAAAAGTAAGGTAGACACCAGTGAAAAGGCTCCTCAGGTAAAACTACCCCTCTATCCCAGAACTTGACAACCTTAGTCCAATCTCTCCAACCCATTGTGGAGGAGAGATTCAACTCCCCAAAGTCATCCTCTGACCCCCACATGCCCAAACTCACATTTCATACACATGCACATACAATAATAAAATTTAAAAGGTGTTGGGCTGGAGAGACGGCTCAGCAGTTAAGAGCATTGGCTGCTCTTGGAGAGGACCGGCTTCAGTGCCCAGCACCCACATGGTAGCTTACAACAGTCAGTAACAGGAGTTCCAGGGGATGTGATGCCCTCTTCTGGCCTCTGTAGGCATTGCATGTACATGGTGCACATACATTCAGGAAAAAGTCATGCATATAAAATAAAAATACATTTAAAATTTTTAAAATAAGGTGGAGGAGGCTGGAGAGATGGCTCAGTGATTAAGAGCACTGGCTGCTCTTGTAGAGCTGAGTTCTGTTCCCAGCACCCATGTCCTGATGGTTTGTAACTGCCTGTAACTCCAGCTCCAGGAGATGTGACCCCTCCTCTGACCTCTACTAGCACCTGCACACACATGCAGTATACAACCACACAGACATATCCATACAAAATATTTTTTAAAATACTTTATTATTTTTATTTTATGTGTATGAGTGTACTGCCTGCATGTATGTGAGTGCACCTGTGTCGTGCAGTGCCGCGGAAGTCAGAAGAGGCCATCGGATCCCCTGGAACTGGAGTTACAGACAGTTGTTAGCTACCATGTGGGTGCTGGGAATAGAACCCAGGTCCGCTGCAAGAGCAGTCAGTGCTCTTAACCACTGAGCCACCTCTCCAGCCCCCCTATAAAATATTTTTAAGCTGTGGGGCTGGAGAGATGTCCTGGTGGACATCCAGGACCACCACTTCAGCAGTTAAGAGCACTGGCTGCTCTTGCAGAAGACCCGGGTTTGAATCCCAGTGACCCAGTGGTTAGGCAGCTAACAACTGTCTGTAACTCCAGTTCTGGGGGATCCAACGCTCTCTTCTGTCCTCTGCTGGCATTGCATGACACGAGTGCACTTACACACAAACATGCAGGCATAACTCTCATAAAATAAAAATAAATTTTTTTGTCTTTTAAAAATATTTTTATGCCAGATGTGGTGGTGCACACCTTTAATTCTAGCACTCGGGAGGCAGAGGGAGGCAGATCTCTATGAGATAGAAGCCAGCCTGGTCTACATAGTGAGTTCCATCCTAGCTGGGGTTAGAGAGAGAGATCCTGTCTTGAAGAAATTTTTTAAGAAATTTATTTTATGTGTATGAGTGTATTGCCTGCATGTGTGTAAGTGCACCCATGTCATTCAATGCACGCAGACAGAGATCAGAAGAAGGCATTGGACCCCCTGGAACTGGAGGCATGGACAGTTGTTAAACACTTTGTGGGTGCTGGGAATCGAACCTGAGTCCTCTGGAAGAGCAGTCAGTGCTCTTAACCACTCAGCCATCTCTCCAGCCCCCCCCAAAAAAAATTTTAAAGGTAAAATAAAGTGGAAAGTTGATTGAGGAAGATAGTGTCCAGCTCTGACCTCTGACCTCCACATATGTACAGACACACAGTGACCTCAGTGTGTTGTGGAAACTGCGGATTCTGATGCAAGTAAGGTCAGGTTTAACCCAGTACTGTGAAGGGTACTGAAAAGCTCCTGGGTACCCTTTGGAACCAGGACCCCATGATCACTCATTGTACCCAGATGCCCCAGGCTTGGTGGGAAGTTTGCATGGGATGTGTAATGGAAACAGCCAGATGGATCCTGGATGCTGGGCCTCATCCATCTGGCGACTGTCCCTCCCCAGCCAGGGGCAGCAGCTGTCCACCGAGTCCCTGCAGCAGCTGCTGGAACGTACACTGACCCCACTGGTGGATGAGGTGAAGCAGAAAGGCCAGGCTCCTGCCTGCCCCAGCTGCCAGCAGCTACACAAGAAAATTCTGGTACCAGGGACATGGGCTGTCATATCCCCCATTAATATGGGGGGGCATGGGAAGTGGGAGCCTCAGGAAACAGTTCCTGCTGGAATGTGGCAGGGAAAGGGAGGCTGTATGTGAGCAGCAGGTGTTGGATGTGTCTGGCAGTTGGACAGATAACTTGGTGGCTGCTAAATCATACATAGCCCATTAACTCTGGAACCTGTGGGGACAGACTGAGGCCCAAAGCATGATGGGATATTGGGCCTAGGACACTGTGGGATACACAGGATAGATTCTACTCTGAAGGCTCATGGAACATGAGCCTGATTTTCTGTAGACCTTCAGGGAGGTCACTGAAGTCAGAGGGACTACTGAGGCCAGACTGGGGGACCCAGGGACACACGTCACAGTCAGCTACTGCATTTTGGGAAATGTAACTTCAGCTCTGCCTGACACTTTATTGTGTAACAGACTCAGGCCCCGTGGCTGCTGGAACTTGAGGCCTGGTACACTATGGGACACACAGACATTGTGGATATTGGCCTAAAGAATGATAGGATACAAATTGTAGTGAGATGCTAGTGGGAATCCATGGAAACCCATGGTACCTGGTGCATTGTGAGATACAGAGAGCAAATGCACAGTAGGATGGATATTAGCCTAAGGGATGATGGGATATAAATTATAGTGAGATGCCATGTGGACACTTGGAAGATCATGTCCTGGTGCATTGTGGGATGTGGAGGTCTAGTGCATGGTGGTTGTAGAGGATGATAGGATATAAATTGTAGTGAGCTGCAGTAAAAATATATGGGTCGTCATGGCCTGGTGCACTGAGAGCCATGGAAAACCAGAACACTAGGACCACCCTGGTGACACCCTAGCTAGCCTCACAGATGCAGGGATACAGAAAGGGTCACCATGGGATGCTGGGACACACATCAAATACAGGAGAGCTCACAGGCATTGGGAGACAGTTCTTCAGACCTGACTCTGAGCTTGCAGGCCAGTATATTAGGAACAGTCACTAGCTTCCTGCACAGTGCAGAGGCCAGAGCATGGTGGGATATCCGGGGTCAGGCCCAGGCTCAAGGTGTGATGGGCTACTCTGGGGTGGTGTGTGGGCTCCTCCGTGGGACCCTGCCCCTTGCCCTCCGCGATCCAGCTCCCCCTCCACCCCTAGCCTAGTCCAGCAAGCCCAGCGGCGCCTACACTCCTCTCCCCAGGAGCTGGAGCGCCAGGCCTTGGCCAAACACATCAGGGCAGAGGCCCTGAGCTCCACCCTTCGGCTGGCCCAAGACGAGGCCCTGCGGGCCAAGAACCTGCTGCTGACAGACAAGATGAAGCCGGAGTGAGGGCAGAGGTGGAGGGCATGGGAGGAGGGTGAGGTCTCGGGACCGGGCCTGGCTGCTCCTCCCGCCCCTTGACCCCCCTACCCAGTGTGGTCTCCCCAGCACCGATGCCCTACTGATTATCCTTACAGGGAGAAGGTGGCCACTTTGGACTATATGCACTTGAAGATGTGCTCCCTCCACGACCAGCTCAGCCACCTGCCACTTGAGGGGTCCACGGGGGGTGATGGGGGGAGGAAGCACTGAAGGGGGTCCCCTGAATCGTAGGGGCCCAGGCGCTGAACAATAAATGGCCTCTCATGCTGGCATGAATTACGACTCCAAGTTGGCATTAAAAAATGGTTCGTATGGGGACTGGAGAGAAGGCTCAGCAGTTAAGAGCACTGACTGCTCTTGCAGAGGACCCGGGTTCAATTCCTAGCACCCACATGGTGGATATGACTGTCCTTAACTGACTGTCCTTAACTCCAGTTCCAGGGGAATCTGAAGCCCTCTTCTGACCTCTGCGACATTGCACGACACGGGTGCACTCACATACATACAGGCAATACATGCATACACAAAACAAAAAAATTAAAAAAGGGGGGGTAGTCACAGGGTGTGGAAGCTGAGGCAGGAGGATTTGCTTGAGATGCAAAGGTGACCAGCCTCCTTAAACTCCAACAGTTATGCCTTCACCACCATATGGGGCTGTATCCCTTCATACTGTGAACCAACAACATTTAACTGCACACACTGCTCTTGTAGAGCACCAGAATTTGTTCCTAGGCCCCAGGTCCAGCGGCTCACTAACCACCTATAATTTCAGCACCAGGGGGTCTGACACCCTTTACTGGCCTTTGTGGGTACTCACACAAATGTAGCACACATTGACACAGACACACAGACACGAAAAATAAAGTTAAAAATATATGATTGGGGACTGGAGAGATGGCTCAGCGGTTAAGAGCACTGACTGCTCTTGCAGAGGACCCGGGCTTGATTCCCAGCACCCACATGTGGCTACGAACCATCCTTAACTCCAGTTCCAGGGGAATCCGAAGCCCTCTTCTGACCTCCGCAGCATTGCATGACATGACTGTCCTCATGTACATGCAGGCAATACACTCATACACATAAAATAATAATAAAATATTAACAAATATATATATATATAGTGATTGGATGAGAGACCAGCGTAGGTGAAATGGGGGTTGAGGCAGGGGCTGCCTGGCTGATTGGTGATGTTGAGGGTCTAAATCAGGAGGATCACTGATAAGTAACAAAGCTGGCTGACTTCCAGCTTCCTTTTCACCTGAGACAAAGACCTATGGTCTTTTTCCCATAGCCAGCAGGGCCTCTTTAGCTGACCAATCCAAACCAGGTTAACTAAAGCTGGCCCTGGACACACCTCAGCTTGCTTCTGTGGGCCTATCAGCTTTCTCTTGTTTAAGTTGACCAATTCAGAATTAGGAAAGGGGGATCTGCCCTAAACCACCAAGGACAATTAAAAGACCCAGGCCTTCCTAGGACTTTAGTTTTTTGGCTTCCAAATCTCCTCTCTACTTAATGGAGTTTTTCTCTCTATGTGAGTGTATACATGCGTTTCTTATTTTTAGTTTATGTGTATATGTATATTGCCTGTATGTGTGTAAGTGCACCAGTGTTGTGCAATGCCTGTGAAGGCCAGAAGAGGGTGCTGAATGCCCTGGAACTGGAGTTATGGACAGTTGTTAGCTACCATGTGGGTGCTGGGAACCAAACCTGGGTCCTCTGTAAGAACATCCAGTGCTCTAACCTCTGACCCATCTCTCCAGCCCCTTCTTTACTTTTAATGAAGTTTGTTGTCTGTTGTGTCTCAGATTATTCCTCCTGCCTCTGTTTTTGTTTGTTTTTGAGACAGAGTCTCACTATGCAGGCCTGGCTGTCCTGGAATTCACTATGTAGACCAGGCTGGCCTCGAGCTCACAGAGATCCCCTACCTCTCCTGAGTGCTGGGATCAAAGGTGTGCACACCTGTTGGGAGCTATTAGTATAAGCACAGCCATTACGTACATTGAGCTGTGGCAGGCTTGCTTGTTTACTTTATGATCTTTCACCTTGACTCAAGAGTTTGTGTGTTTTGCACACCAGTACCAAATTGTTCTGCCAAGTCAGGAGGAATGTGTTCATAATTTAGGGAAGATGGTTAAATGCTGGAATTCACAACAAGTATTTGACCGCTCCTTGACTCTCAGATAAAGGTGGGGAAAAAACAGCTGTTGAAGCTAATTGAGCTAAGCAAATGGTGGCTGTCTGATGTTCTGCTGTATAAGAAGGCTGAGCTGAAATAAACTGGGGCTGCAGTCTCTACTGACAGTCCTCCCAAGGATCTTTCTCTGTCTCTTATTTTTCTTTCATCCTCACGACCCCTTTCAGGTGCTGTTCATCTCGGCCGGCTGGCACCGGCATGTACCAAGCCCGGCTTCTACCTTCCTTTTAATTCTTAATTGATGGAGAAAACAAACCTGAACAAAGCTGTAGACAGTAACTACAGCTCTGAAACCAGATCCTCACTGGGGCAGGAACCTAGAACGTTCTCAGAGGGGTGCGGGGTATCTGGATGTGCAAGGCCAGAAGCTGCTACACAGCTGGTGGTACAGGGAGAAAAAAAAATTGCTGTGGATGCACAGGAACAAGAGACCAACCTGAAGGAGAGCAGGCCTAAATTGCTGCTCAGGACATCCACAGCCCCTCTGCTGCCCCCTCTTGGAAGAGCCTGATGGAGCCGCTTAACATGAAATGGGTTTCAAAGTTCAGATTCTCAAAGCCCAGGGTGAGCAGGGCTGTTGAAGCAAGTATTGCCTTAATTGTCAGGCTTGATGAGAGAAACTTCGCTAATTCATTTAAATTTTTACAAATTTTTTTTTGGTCTTTTTGAGACAGGGTCTCCCTGTAGCCCCAGCTGGCCTGGAACTCGCTATGTTGACCAGGCTGGCTTTGAACTCACAGAGATCTGTCTGCCTCTGCCTCCTGAGTGCTGGGACTAAAGGCGTGCGCCACCATGCCCAGCTGATTTTTACAATTTTTGTATTTTTGTTTTTTGAGACAGGATCTTCCTGTAGCCCTAGTTGACCTGGAACTTGCTATGGAGACCAGGCTGGCCCCAATTTCAGATCCACCTCCTCTGCCTCCCAAGTGCTAGGATTAAAGATGTGCCACCACGCCTGGCTTAACTTTTAATTTTATTTATTTATATTTTTTGTTTATTTATTTGAGACAGGGTCTCCCTGTAGCCCCAGCTGGCCTGGAACTCACAATGGAGACCAGGCTGGCCTTGAAACCACAGAGGTCTGCCTGCCTCTGAGTGCTGGGATTAAAGGCGTGCACCACCACGCCCAGTCCTTAATTTTATTATTTTAAAGATTTATGGCCTGGAGAAATGGCTCAGTGGTTAAGAGCACTGGCTACTCTTGCAGAGGACCTGGGTTTGAATCCCAGCACCCACATGGCCATTAACAACTGTTACATTTAGGAGAGCAGAAAAAGGAAGGACTTTAAAGTTTAGAAATAAGAGAGCCAGACCTGCCACATCAAGAAATGTGTTTCAGCCGGGCGTGGTGGCACATGCCTTTAATCCCAGCACTCAGGAGGCAGAGGCAGGTGGATCTCTGTGAGTTCAAGGCCAGCCTGGTCTACATAGTGAGTTCCAAGACAGCTGGGGCTGCAGGGAGACCCTGTCTCAAAAAGACAAAAAAGAAATGTGTTCCCTTTTTCAGGGAACCCACCAGAGGCAATGCATTGTGGAGCAGTCTGGTCTTATATAGGAACTCTGCTGCACACAGCTTCAAGAGTTAACTCTGTGCCAGTGTCTGGTGTCCTTGAGGGTCTCTCCCAAGATTATTTTCACAGGCAGGCGAGCTGTCTTAGGGCACTAAAGAGGACAGGTGGGCTCCATAAACAGTCTCCCTCAGTCCAGGGAGCGACCAGTTGCTAAGGTTTGAGCAAGGTCAGCCTGCCAATTTAGGGCTGGTTAGCCACTTAGAGATATTTATGACTTTCCCTTATGAGGTTGTGGCTCTTCTGCAATTCACATATTCTATCAACAATCGTTTATAACTCCAGTCCCAGGGAATCCAACACCCTCTTCTGGCCTCTGCAGGCATTGCACACACATGGTGCACTTACATACATGCAGGAGGCAAAGCACACATGAAAAATAAAAATATCTAAAAATTTTATTTTTGGTGTTTTTGAGACAGGGTCTCCTTATAGCCACAGCTGGCCTGGAACTCACTATGTAGACCAGGCTGGCCTCAAACTCAGAGATCCACCTGTCTCTGCCTCCCCAGTGCTGGGACTAAAGGTGTGCACTACCACGCCTAGCTTAAATTTTATTTTTATTTTATTGTACATGAGTGTTTTGCTTACCTGTATGTATATGCACCATGTTCACGCAATGCCCATGGAGACCAGAAGAGGGTGTGAGATCTCCTGGAGTTGCCACATGGACACTGGGAACTGAACCTGGGTGCTCTGCAAGAGCAGCCGGTGCTCTAACCACTGGACCATCTCTCCAGTATATTGGTGGTGATTAGTGTGATTGTCCTGGTTTCTTTTCCTGTTACTTTAATAAAATGCCTGACTGATAGAATTTGTGAATTTCAGGAGAACCATAAGCTTCATTAAAGGAAGCCATAAAGACTTAAATCCTTCAAGTGGCCAACTGGTCCTAAATTGGTGGCCTGGCCTTTGCTTCAGCCTTAGCAACTGGTCACTCCCCAGACTGAGAGAGACTGTTTACAGAGCCAACCTGTCTCCTTTAGTGCCATAAGATAACTCACCTGCTCTTCCTGAGAAAACAATCTTAGAAGAAAACCTTCAATTACCCCCAACAATGCTAGACCCTGGCACTGAGCAAATTCCTCAAGCTGCGTTCAACAGAGTTCTAGCCTAAGTCTGAACTGCTCTGCCCTTCCCTGTGGATGTCCTCCTTCCCACTGAAGGGTTTACCGGCCCTTTGCTGTGTCCTTTGAATAAAGGAGCACACTCCTTGCCCGTTGCAGGTCTGCCTCGTTTTTATTTCTGAACTTTAAACTCCTTCCTTTTCTGCACTCCTAAATCGAACACTGATGAAAGTAACTTAAGAGAGAGAGCGTTTACTTGGCTCACAATTCCTTCATTGCAGGGAAGTCAAGGAGACATGAACTAGAAGCAACTATTCACATGGGTGGTACCTTCTTTTGGGGGGCTGGTGGGGTTGTGGTAGGATTTCGCTCTGCAGTCCTGGCTGGCCTTGAACTCACTATGCGCACTGACCTGGAACTCACAGAGATCTCAGGCTGATCTTGATC